AATGGCATCAAGACTCTCTCTCTCTCTCTTTCTATTACACGGACGAATGACATTACCTTCGCAAATCAAGTACCAACTGCCCACGGGTCGTAACCTTTACCCAAGTCCATTCTGCTACAAGCTGAAGCCCCCACCCAGGGAACAACTTTTGCTTGACAAAATGCTGATATCGTGACTTGTTTGTCACCCATACTGCGACCAGAGAGCCAGGGCCAATGAGGGATTTGACAGGAAGCTTGAATAAATCATAAATGTCCATCTCCTGATAGCGGCTTCCCCGGCGTACGCTTTTGTTGGGCCATGGTGGATCCAGCAGGACGAGATCGTATTGTGTCTCCTTTTCTAGAATGATAGTTGAGTTTAGGGGAATGGCTGTAGCGAGCAGGCTTATCGTACCATACAGCAGCTGCCGGGTATTGGACAGGTCGGAGATCAGGAAGCGAGAGTACGGGGGTATGAGGAACGTTTGCCCCAAAATGTCCAAGTTGTACGTCGTGGCAGCTTCATTGGATATCAAACCCTGGAAAACGGGGCTTATATCCGCTTTGGCATCTACATCTAAATCATTCGCAAGATGTGAGTAAAAGGCATGTATGCCCGGGTCTAAAGATCTTACCCTCAACCAATGTTATCGTCGGAATAATCTCGTCAAGGTTGCGGGGAACAAGATCACACAATTCTCTCCATTTCACAAAGTCAACCTCTTCTACGCCGTCAGGTGAATCAGAAGCTTTCTTCCCAAATGCATCGTCCTCCGTTGGGAACGAGGGTTCGTCCAAATTTTTCCCAAATACTTTGGAATCACCAATGATTTTGGACACGGCTGTTTCCAACCAGGACAAATACTCGAGGACCTCTGGTGGATCTTCAATTTTGACTTTCTTAATGGATCGTTTGCGTTTCTTGGAGTTGGGTTCTGAGCATTCTGCGCCAGTACTCTTGACGGTCGCTTGTTCCGTCGATAACTGAGTTACCGGCTTTGATATGGGTATTTTTGAACCGTAGGGAGCAACGACTTGATAGTCGGATAGTCTCCATGTCGTTCCATTGCCGACATCGTACTTCCAAGGCGCCACGACCCAACCCTCTTCCGAATCGTAGAGAATGTCAGACATGCGCACGCACTCCGGCGAGTGGGAAATGTTTTATTTATTTTCGAACTTTGGCAAATGTGCAAAAAATGAAGGAGATTGTTAACGGCACCCCCCTGAAAGTGTTAACGGCACCCCCCTGCAGCCGGATTACCTTAGAAATACATCTGTTACCTAACCACTTAAGTGTCAGATCCTTTCCTTTGTAGAAATGAATAGGTGCCAAAGGGCAGCAGCTATGGCCGCCCGCCCGCCCACCTGGCCAGTCTCACTCCCGAGTAATCAAGTGCTCAATTGTGAAGAAGCTCTGATGGAAAACGGCCTGAGGAGACCTATGGCAGCAACAGCACACATGGTTTGAAGCACAGAGACAACCAATTTCTCCCACAAACAGATGGCATTTGAATCTGTATGAAACAGATGTATGTCAATGGTAATCCACCTGCAGGGGGGTGCCGTTAACACTTTTAGGGGGGTGCCGTTAACAATTCCCAAAATGAAAGAGTCAAAAAATGATCATTGGATGTAAATTCACATAAATAAAGGCAGGTACATATTGTCCGCATATAGAGAGTAAAACGAGGAAAAAGCACAATATACACATAAGACGGTAAGTAGAACTAAGTAAAGGGATAAGAGATATGTGGCATCCTGGGTTGTTGCTTTTTACAAGATCTGAGTCGAGTCAAGGTCGTTTTACTGTTGACCCCAGCCGAAGGTGGGCTCACTTGGGCACCAGACGTTGACTTGGGGTTGAGAAAATTCCAAGTCCTCCGTAAGGTCCGTTCCGAACGGCCACTCGACCGTTAGATCAAAGAAGCGGGGAGATGGGTCGTTAAGGAGCCATGGCGCAAAGTAGTAAGAAGGAGCGGCGTTGAGCAAGTAGAAGGGGTTGCCGGGTGCACCAAAGAATCCGGCAGCTGGAGAGACGCCGCTAATCTGGGTAATGTACTGTTCGGAGCGGCAGAAGCGGACCGACGCGACGAAACCAAATCGGACGACATCGAGGTTGGTGACGCTGACGCGGTAGCTGAGACGGGAGACGGCACTGTTGCTCTGGAAGGAGCCGGGGATGACTGCGACGGTAGAGTTGCAAAGGTTGACTCGGTTGGCAGGGACTTCGAGGCGAGCGAGGCAGATGGGGGTGGGCTCAACGGTTGCGGTGGTGGTAGTGGGTGAGCTGGTGGTCGTCGTGGGTGGCTCAACCGTGGTAGATGGGGCGGCCGTAGTTGCGGGCTCGGTGGTGGTTGTTGGCTCGACAGTAGTCGTTGGGGTAGCAGTGCGAGTTGCTCCGGTGCTGCCTGCATTGCCGCCAGGAATGGTGATGGTACGCGTAACGTCGTCGGTGGTGGTGGTTTCAGCAACGGTGGTGGTCTCGGCGACGGTGGTAGTTGCTGGGGGAACAACAGTGGTCGTCTCGTCGACGGTGGTGGTAGTCGCAGGTACTGCGGTGGTAGTAGTCTCCTCAACAGTAGTAGTGGGGGTTGCCGTGCGAGTAGCTCCAGTGCTGCCAGCGTTGCCGCCGGGGATGGTGATGGTACGCGTACTGCCGCCGTCTTCAGTGGTGGTGGTGGTAACTTCTTCCGTAGTGGTCTCGGCAACAGTGGTGGTGGTGACGGGGGTGGTGGTGGCGGGTGGAGCGGTGGTAGTCTCGTCAATGATGGTGGAGATGGTGGCGGGAGGGACACGGGTTGTGGTCGTCTCCGCGACAGTGGTGGTAGTCTCCTCAATCGTAGTAGTGGGGGTTGCCGTGCGAGTAGCTCCAGTGCTGCCAGCATTGCCTCCGGGAATGGTGATGGTACGCGTACTGCCGCCCTCTTCAGTGGTGGTGGTGATAACCTCTTCGGTGGTGGTCTCGGCAACCGTAGTTGTGGTAGTGACCGGGACGGTAGCGGTGGTGGTCTCTGCGACAGTGGTGGTGGTCTCCTCAACCGTAGTGGTAGGGGTTGCCGTGCGAGTAGCTCCAGTGCTGCCGGCATTGCCCCCGGGAATTGTGATAGTACGCGTACTAACGGTCTCGGTGGTCGTGGTTTCGTCGGCAACAGTGGTGGTAGTGGTCGGGACGGCCGTGGTGGTGGTCTCTGCGACAGTTGTGGTGGTCTCCTCAACAGTAGTGGTGGGGGTTGCCGTGCGAGTAGCTCCAGTGCTGCCAGCGTTACCCCCGGGGATGGTAATGGTACGAGTACTGCCACCGTCTTCGGTTGTGGTTGTCTCTTCAACAGTGGTGGTCGTGCTTGCCGGTGTGGTAGTGGGAACGGCTGTGGTGGTGGGTGCGGGTGTAGTGATGGTAGTAAGAGTTTCAACTTCACTGGTGGTGGTAGTAGAAATGATGGTGGTGGTGGTGGTCGCTGCAACGGTGGTGGTAGGGGTGGCCGTACGTGTAGCTCCAGTACTGCCTGCATTACCGCCGGGGATGGTGATGGTACGCGTGCTAACAGTTTCGGTGGTCGTTTCCTCAACGGTAGTAGTGGGTACAGATGTGCTCACTGCCGTGGTGGTAGCGATGACTGTGGTGGTGGTGGTCGCGGCGGTCGTAGAGGTAGCACTTGGGAGACACGTTTCGGTGGCCTGAATAAAGATGCGAAGTGTTTCGAAAGACGAGGGGGTAGGTGTTTGTTGACGACGGAAGAGGGGTGGAAATTCTCCGTTGCGAGAGTGGAATGCTTCGACAATCTGATCAACATTCAAGTCGGCGTAAATGTACTCTACGGTAGGCGACGTGGCTTGATCCCGCTGAACCAGTTGTTGCTTGAGGGCAGATGTCTTTTCGGCGCCTTGTTCTTCGGTGCAGGCCACCTCGTCCCACTTGAGATGTGCTGAAGAGCTTGGAGGCAGACCTAAAACTTCCAGGGCATCGTTGGAAACGACGAGGCGTCCCCGAGGGATCTTGTTGGTGACATCCACCAGACGGACGACAATGTTTTTGCCGGTTGCTGTTGAAGAGACGCGTAGGCATCGGCCACAAACACTGGAATCCATCGAGGAAGGGTCGGCCCCAAAAGCAGCGAGGGGAACTGTTCGCATCCAGCCGACGTTGGGGCAAGCATCGGGTCCGATAAGGCGGGTGATGGAGAATGGGTAGTCGCCTCCCGACATGCCGCGGCCATGAAGGCGAACAGCGGCCGCGGGAGATGCGAGAGCGGCAATAAACCACAGCGTAGAGAGCATGCTGCTGACGGTCATGATGGTCATGGTGGTGTGAGATGGGTTGTCGTAAGGCCTTGGCGAGCCGAAAGTCGTTTCGCGTTCGGCAGAGACAAGTTTGCGGGGAAAGGTTTCCCGATCGCGAGCCCTTTATATAGCCCGCCATATCAGAAACCCCTCCGAAGGACATGTTCCATCAATGTGTGCGGCGACCTAGGCAACTCTGATGCTGAGGTCGATTTCGAAGGCGGGTCGGGAAACGCGTCGAACGAGCTTCTGCGCGCCAAACTTGCTGACGTACGCGCTTGACGCGCAGCTTCTATGGAGCAAGATCTTGCTGATCTGGTCTTTTACTTCAACCACTTGATTACGTGTCCTTTCAAATTCTTTTGAGAATCAAGCGGTGAGTACAGGTAAGCTTACTGTATGGTGTTTGAGTATGTGGTTTCTTTGAAGCCACATCTGATGTTTGAACCTACTCAGCACCGACGTTTGTTGCTGGCTTTAGCTCCAAACAGAAAAGTGTTGATCTGATTCCAGAACTGATTCATTGGATTCAATCTGACCCCCAGCCACTATACCTTATATCGGTAAGGTTGCTGCAGAGTGGGCGCACCTGCGGCTCTGCAGCAACCTTCTCCTTGTAACTGTCATCTACGTCCAGTGGTCCACAGATTCGATGGACTTCCAAATCTATGCGCGTAATTGACCAGCAGTGTGTTAGTATAAGAGTGGCGGAACAAGCAACATTTCATCGAAGAAAACGCCAAGCTAGTATAGTGGCAGTACGCCGCGTTGTGGCCGCGATGACCCCGGTTCGATTCCGGGGCTTGGCAATCTTTTTTGGCTTTTATTTTTGGTTGGCTGGATCGTCGTAGCGTTCGCGTTCGCGTTCCGCCACTCTTATATATACTAACACACTGCTGGTCAATACGCGTACCATTTGGAAAGTAGTCAACTCATTTTAGTATGGCCGTAGATGACACTTTCATAAATATGTTCAGGTGCAAGATGTAATGGCTGGGTGTTCAGTTTGGATGACCATGAAAACTGTTCATTAGGGGTGACATACACTGTAGTTTCTGGCATGGCAAGGCTATCCTATATCTCTTGATAGTAGAAATGATGGAGACCGGGTACCGGCATACGGCAAGTGTGAAAATTGACGATTGAAACAATGAAGGTAGGATTTTTTTTGTCTCTACTCGGAAGAGCTGCTGCATCGGAGTTCATGTCCTCCTGATCTATGACAACACTTGCGCAGTCATCCTGGCACAGACTTTATACATTTGCAGTGAGAGAGGGGTGGTATTCGAACAGGGCATGACACTTTTGTCTACCATCTGTCATAAGCCAGGATATAAAACCCCCACTCTTTCTCATTCGATGCTTTGATAATGATACCAAAAGGCAAATTCGGGTTTCCAGGTGTGTTGTGGTGAGGGGTATAATACTCTTATTCGACACGGGTGGTTGCCATGAATCGATTGCGTTTATCGGCTTCATGGATGGCGGTTCCTGCAGCCCGGAGTGTTACTACACCGGGAAAAGAAATGCCGACGGCGGTTTATATAAAAAATGGAATATTCTGGGTATGAAGGGAAAGTAGGATATGCTGCAGCCTGAAATCAATCATGTGAAAGATAACATGTGAGGTCTTTTAAGTAAACACACGTACGACTGAGTCGGAAAATCCCCGGTCTGCGAAACTCAGAAACTCTCACGGTCGAACGCGTTCAGACCTACATAAAAAAATACCGGCAGAGACCAAACCGCTGATATTCTCATGTGATTCACTGTACTCTCATCAAAAACGGTGTCAATATCGGCGTTCATTTTGTCAAATGCTGTACAATCTTCGACCGAAAAATTCAAAAAAAATGGTGGGAAATTACGCCGCCCGAGGTCGAACTCGGAAGATATAATAACATCGACAAAGTTGGAGTTGATATTCCCACGGCACTCCGCATAGAAAGAGGGAATCTTTCTTCGTTGATGACCGTTCTGAGTATGAGGGGAAGTCACAGCCTTCATGGGGAGCGAGGTGAATGCGTCGACACACCTAGACACCCAAAAAGTACAAAGAAGAAGATGAACTGCCCGAGATCAACGTTTTATGGTTGAGGCAAATAGACACAGACTCAAAGTCGTTGGCTGCAATCATCATCTTTAGGGATGAGGTTGTTTAGGAACTACTATGAGTATCGGGGACCCACCTACGAGATGCACGCATCGACCGCGTTAGGAGGATGAGCAGCAATGGCGGTAAAAGTTCAAATCTCCGAGTTCATTGCCCTCTCATCAAAAATATATCAATGTCTGCTCTAATCTGAGCCTAATCATTTGGTAAAATGCCATGTCCACGCATGGACCGAAAAATGCAAAAAGAAGATGGTGGGAAATTGCGCCGCCCGAGATCGAACTCGGGATATCGAGGTGCTTTTCAATGTCTTCGTTGAAGAGATTATTGATATGCCCACGGCGCTTGCTTGATTTCCAGGGAATTTTTTTCATAAGTATACATTCTGAGTATGAGGGGAAGTTACTGTTTCCATTCGAGCGCGTTGAACGACGCGTCGAGACACTCAGAGGCAGATGCGAGCGGGTCTACAAATTTGACACTGGTGCTGATTTAACCACTACTATAGGTGCAAACAATACATTTTCGATTGTCAAGCCGCCATTTTAGAACCACTGTCTTCGAGATGCACCCATCGTCGAACGCGTTAGTGGAGGGTCGGATATCTATAACTATCTTCGACAGGCTCGGCTGTCAATTTGACCGAGTGTCACTTGCTGCTTACTGGTTCCAACTTGATATGGGATCAAAGTTGCAAGAGCGACGCTAGATATCTCCCACGGCGGAACATCCCAAAACTGAAACGACATACTGAATCCAGTCCGAATGAGTCCAAGCACTTTACCATAGTGCATTCATCACAATTTTATATACATCGGAAGCAACACCAAAATGTACTCGACATTGTGTACGGGGAACCTGCGGCAAGTAGATCTGTCTTGCTGATTGTTGGCGTTGACTGATTAGCGAGCACAAGCAAGCAAGGACGGGCAACGGTGCCATAGATGTGCGGAGACAGCCTGAATACACTCATATACATGAAGTATCACGTCTTATTAAAACAGGCACGCGAGTTTCTATCCTATGCATTCTTTTTTGCACAAGAGTATCAAATTCATTCCCTAGATAAAGGTTTACGATTACCAAATGGTTCGGATAGCGGATAGCATCTTGAAAAACATACAGCCACCAGACTGCGCAGCCAGATCTGGCTTTTAATATATCAAGCACTCAAGCACTGTCATCGCGGCATCCATCTACGATTATAAGGAATTCCGTATCTTACTGCATCGCAAAAGCTCATAGGCCAACAATGCTTTTATTGCCTCTGTACCCAGGATCTTTGCTTGATCAGTTGGACAGCAATTGAGATGAGCCCCATGGTCCCAAAAGAATCTTGGTTAGTCCGACAATACCAGGGCTAAAACATGTCCCAACCAAACCCCATTGATTTTCTTCTGATGTGACTCTTAAAGCTACATGAATTTCTGCGCCCAGAACAGAGAGTGCCGTTTGCGAAATCTAAGACGCGGTTTGTCACATCAGGGTTGCTACCGGATTTTGTTCAGCAAAATCTCGTAATGGCCTCTAAGGAGCGGCACTGAAGATAACTCCTAGAGTCTTCAACTTTGGTGATCTTTGGTCGTAGCGTCTCCCGCGGGAATGTCATATCTCGATGCCGCTAGCGCACAGCTTAGGCCAGCCGGCGGTTGTTTGCAAGGACAAACTCAGCTTTGAAGTACTCGGCTACGAAGAGAAGGTCATACAAAGGCCCAACGTAGAATACCTCTTGCTCGACAGTTCAGCACATTGTGCCAAGGTCTTCGTCGTCGTCCTCACTTTGTATTTGCACTTTTGAGACTTTGCGACTGACCTAACGCAGGCAGGCCAATCAGAGCGCCAAAGACTGAAACCATCCTACTCGCTCCCGAAAACATATTCCGAGATCGTCGCCGTCCCCTCCACCACTCCACGCAATACACTTTGCCCATCCTGCTCATCGAGTTTTACCGATCTGAGCCGCGCAGATATTACCGCCGACCTACCGAAAGTACTTCCAACAAACGAAAGGCGCCATAAGGACGATTCAACCAAAGCAACAGACACATTGTCTTTGAGGGCAACAACTGCAAGAAGGACGCGGTTTCCTTCAAGACCATGGCACATTCATAAATGGCAAGATCCCTAGGACAAGAATAACGTACCCCAACCCCATACGAACGCGTCGACTGCTTACGCACGACATCAAGGGGAAATTCTAGGACCCAAAGCCATACAAACAGAGATGACCCAGCATCCATCACACACGCCACAGCCAATCACAGCGCCACGGAGAAAAAAAAGCTTACCCAAGCCCACACTATAAAAAGGCTCCCTGCACCCGCTCCCCCCTCTTCTTTTCTCTTCACGGAACCGCCTCTTGTAGGTGAAAGGACTGCCGCAAGCGATACTAAGTGGTCGGGGCTTGCCGCCTTCGCCCGGTCTGCGACCTGGTCCAGGACACATGCCTTCTCGAACCTTGTCACCTGCATCCGGACCCACACCGGGAGGGCCTTTAATAAGTGCATGTAATACAACTTGACTGCTGTAGACTGAACATAATGTGCATACATAGTTACAATAAAAATCATAATCTAAAAAGCCCTATTGGATTGATATGACTTGTCGTGTTCTCACGGCCGTTGACTTCGATTCTGTTGGGTGTAGCTGCTAGCAATCGGATCTTGTGCCCCATGGTCCAAAGAAACGTTTACATTATCAGAAGTTCTTGAGAATCCCAACATGAGTGATTTTTCCTCGATGCCGTCAAGCAGCTCAAGTAAACGGGCTGAACTTTGGGCATACACGATTGAGCTAAACGCGTAGGAATCCGTATATGAACCACGTCAAAGACTTCATGAGGTTTGCTGATTTGATTTGAAGACCTCACTCGAATCCGATGATGAGACTATAAGAAAAGGAAGCCGGAGGATTACGCCGCCCAAGGTCGAATTCGGAGTACCTGGGTGCCAAACTAAAGGTTCGGAAAGTTTCGAATATGCCCATGGCCTCTGTCGAAGAGAAAGGATGTTTATCTTCTTGATGACACTTGCGGACGATGTAGTTTGCTGCCAAAAAGTCACATATACGATGGAGTGGAATTGGAACTTTGCATTGCGAGCGCGCAGTAATGCTCCATGGTTATACGTGCTGTATTACCGTTACGCATTTCAGTCAATCAAAGGTCCCACTGAAGCATCAGGGCTTTAACTACAGGTTGTGAAATGTGAGAAAAAAAAATATTGGGATTTACGCCGCCCGAGGTCAAATTAGGAGTACCAGGGTTCTTTCAAATTCAACATTGAATGGGTTGTACGGCTGGTGATATGCCCACGGCGCCTGTTGAAAATAAATGGCATTTTTCTCCTTGATGAAACTTTTATGCATGAGGGGACGTCACCGAGTTTATGTGAAGGCGTTTGAACAATGCGTCGAGTGCAAAAGAGTATGCGCAGTAACGAGTTCATCTTTCTGTTGGGAAGCGGTTATGAGAAGCACCGGTCGAGGAATATAACAGGCAATGATAGGTCCTTGTACCTTCCCAAACTTAAATCCAGGCCAACCTCACCTATGACAGTCCAGTATGGAATTGGAAAATAACGTTTATAAGTCCACAGCGAAAAGTTGTTTGAGCGAATGAGGGCATTTGATAGAGGATGTCATATAGCGTTGCTGATCAAGAAGTCTACCTGATTCACTGCAATGACTGCACAAGTC